TTGCTAATTCATAAATGGCTTTAGAAGAGCTAATATTTATAAGCATTTGCTATTTGCCTTGCATGGTGCTGGTCTCTCCTGTTACATTATCTCTAATCATCACCACAATCTTGTAAACCCAATTTACACATGTAACTAAGGCTAAAAAAATTGTGTCTTTTCTAAATTCACAGAGGAAAGTAAATGATTTGAACTCAGTTTGGCCTGATTTGCCTGTAGTTTTTCCACCATATCAGGGGTTCTCACCCCAATCCATTTAAAATGAACTTTCTAGAGTCAGACTTGAGTATGTTTGAGTGGCTCCCCCAGGTTAATAATGTGAATCTAGGAGTAGAAACTGCTGGATAACATGCTGTGCTTAATATTACGATACCATACTTCAGTAGAAGGGAAAGTGTAGTAAAAGATCATAATTTCATTTAAAAGTGTGTGCAATATTGTTCACTTATCTCTGCCAAGACATATGTATTTGAGACTTCCAGTGCGAGGTGGTACACTGAGAGCATGCTGAAGCCTTCCTTTGCTACTTCACATCCCTAAAAGAAGCCCTTTCTTCTCCTTCCAAAAAATATATAGTATCAATCAAACACAAGTATGAAAGGAAACAAAAAGAGCAAAATTGGCTCCAAACCATAAAGAACCCCTGAAAAATAGGATCGGAATGCAGATGAGAACCAATCTAAAACATGCTGAGGAGTAGAATACTATAAAAGATGTGAATGATTGTAGGGTGCTTTATGTCTAGACTACTGGACAAGCAGAAATGTGGGTCTGCATTTCGCTACCTTCATTTCTCTTTCTCTGTATGATTCAAAACTAGACAATGTGGGTGCTTTAAAAGCCAAGGCAGTTCCCCAATATTGTCAATATCCAAAAGGGGTACAGAGCCCCCAAAATAATTATACATGTTCACTACCCAGTGGAAAATTTTGCCCCTCCGCTAAGAAATTGCTGGTGTGATCACAGACTAACAAGATATCTCTAAAGCCTAAACAAAGATGATTCCACAACCCAAAATGTTTTAACTATTAAAACCAAATAGTTTTAAGAAACTAATGTTATGGAAGACGGTACCAAACTATACAAATGGAAGAACTAAAACCCAAAGAAACAGTCACTAGAGAAAGCAAAGCAAACTTTGTAAGAAATATCCTCAAAGATATGCAGGATGATACTCTGATCATTGTAAAATACAATTTTAGAGGTTTTTAAAGTTAGGAACGGTTTAAAAGGTAGAACAAAGAATTGGAGAGAAAAAAGGTAAATTGAGAGACATGTAATCATCCATTCATCTCCATATATGCTTAGAGAGATGTGTGGAATGATATTCAACTCATGTTAACACCTTTTCTCTCTGGATAATGGGATATTGGTTGGTTTGTTGCTTCCTATTTTGTACTTTTATATATCACTTAAATTTTTTTTGTTAGTTTCAGGTGTACAGAGCAACATAATAGTTAGACATTTACACCTCTCACAAAGTGAGAACTCCCCTTCCCCAAGCTACTACCCCTCTAACATCTTATATAACTGCTACAGTACCATTGACTGTCTTCCTTATGCTATATTCCACTTCTTGTGACCATATATATACATGTAATTATAATTGACATACGATATTATTCTAGTTGAGCTTCATGTGTAGAGCGCAGTGGTCAGGCATCTACGCAGTCTGTAAAGTGATCCCCTTGATAAGACCAGTGCCCATCTGGCACCTTAAATGATCTTTATAACATTGTTAATTATACTCACCATACTCTTCATGGTTGTTATACTCACCATGGGTATTTCATATCCCCATGACTGTATTGTGTCTACTAATTTGCACTTTCTAATTCCTTCACCTTCTCCCCCATCCCCTCCCATATAGCAACCAATAGTTTTTTTCTATATCTCTGAAACTATTTCTGGTTTTTTTGCTCATTTATTCTGTTCTTTAGATTCCACATATAAGTGAGATCATATGGTATGTGTCTTTCTCAGTGACTTATTTCACTTAGCATAATATTCTCAAGGTCCATCCATATTGTTACAAATAGTAAGATTTCATTTTTTATGGCCAAATAATACTCCATTGTATAAATGTACCACAGTTTCTTTATCCAATCATCTATCGATGGGCATTTCGGTTGTTTCTATATCTTGGCTATTGTGAATAGNATTCTATCTTCTAGAATAGATTGTTCAGAATTAGTGTTATGTTTCCTAAATGTTTCCTAGAAATTGACAGTGAAACCATTGTGTGTGTGTGTGTGTGTGTGTGTGTAAGGTTTTGAACTACAAATTCGGTTTCTTTCATAGTTACCGGGCTATTTAGGTTATCTCTTTCGTCTGAGGTGAGTTTTGGTAACTTGTGATTTTTAAAGGATTGATCTATTTTATCTAACTTGTCAAATTTAAGTGTGGAGTTGTTCTTAGCGTTCCCTTTTAAAATCTTTTCTAAATATCTGAAAGGTCTGTAGTGATATTTCATTCTTCATTCTGATATTGTTCATTTGTATCTTCTGGGGTTTTTTGTTTTGTTTTGTTTTTTTGTCTTACTAGGAATTTATCAGTTTTATTAATCTTTTCCAAAAATCAGCTTTAAGTTTTATTGTTTTTCTCTTTGCTGTTTCGGTTATGTCTGCCCTTAGTTTTACTATTTTGTTACTTCTGCATGCTTGAATTATATTGGTCTTATTCTAATTTTTTATGGTGGAATCTTAATTTATTATTGGATTACTGGTTTGAGACTTTCCTTTCCGAATATAAACCTGTAATACTATAAGTTTGCCTGTAAGCACTGCTGTAGCTGCATCCCCAAAGTTTTGAAATTGATTTTTGTTCAGTTCAAAATATTTTTGTTTTTCAAAATATTTTGTAATTTCACTTGAACCATTCTCTTTAAACCATGGATTATTTGTTTAGGCAATTTCCAAGTATTTGTAGGGTTTTTTTTTCTGTTATTTCTATTTTTTATGTTCAGAGAATATTCTTTATGGTTTTTATATTTTTAATTTCTTAAGATTTTTTTCATAACCTAAGATGATGTGTATCTTGCTGAATGTTTCGTGTGCACTTGAAAAGAATGTATATTCTGCCATTGTTGGATGAAATGTTCAATACATATCACTTAGATTCAGTTCGTTGATGGTGTTGTTTAGCTCTTCTATATCCTCACAGATTTATCTACTATTGTTTACTGAGAAGGGTATGTTGAAGTTTCCAACTGTAATTGTGGGCTTGTCTATTTTTGTTTTCAGCTCTGTCAGTTTTGGGTTTTCGTATTTTAGGTGCATACACATTTAAAATTGTTATGCATTTTTAGTGAATTGACATTTTTATCACTATATAAGCTTTCTCTTTATTCCAGTTAATTTTCTTTACTCTGAGGTCAACTTTGATAACATAACCACTCCAGCTTTATTTTGACTAGTGTTTTCATATTACACCTTTTTTCTTTTCCATTTAGCCTACCAAATAGATAACAAAAAGTGGGTCATGCTTTTTTAAATTTCAATCTAATAATCTCTTTTATATGTTGTATTTATACTATTTGCATTTAATATAATTGATGTGTTTGAATTTAGAGATCTACCACTTATTTTCTGTTTGTTCCCTCTGTTTTGCATTTTCTGTCCTATTTGAACTTCTTTTGGTCTTCCATTTAATTTACCTATTGTGTCTTTTTTACTATATGTATTTGTAAAAAATATTTAGTAGGTGCTATAAGGATTGCAACATACATGCTAAACTTTTTACAGTCTACTTAGAATCAATATTTTACTATTTCAAGTAAATATAAAAACTATATCACCATATAGGTAGCTTTATCTTTCCCCCCTTTAGGTTATAGTTACTTTATATATTATACTACATGCATTGAAAACTCCATCAGACAGTCTTACAGTTTTTTGCTTTTAGCTGTCAAACATTTTAAAGAATTCAAGAGAAGAATCATCTGTTATATTATCCAGATATTTACCATTTCTGTTTCTCAATTTTCATTCCTGATTTTCCCAATTTCCTCCTGATAGCATTCCTCTGTCTGAACCACAGCAAAAGTAATTCTTTTGTAGCATATCTGCTAGCAACTCTTTCTCTTGTTCTCCNTGCGCTGAGCCTCATACCTAAGGGCCCGGAAGTAAAACCAGTCACAGAGGGTGCTGTGAGAGTAATAAATTCCATTTTAAATGGCAGTTTTCTTAATGTAGATAAATATCAAGAGATTTGCTAGTCTTTGATTTTCCTCGGTTACAGTAGAGTTGACACCTTTCTTTATTTTGTGAATGATACAGCATTTTTACACAGTGAATATGAATAGACCAGAAACAAAAGCATATCTATTCCAGAAAATCCTCACACACATTCCTAGAATAAGGATGTCTCTGGCGATTGTGAAAGATGGTAAATCCCCATGAAGCCATCTGCCTAATATTCCTTGTAAATGCTTTTGGGATCCTGGAGATTGTCTCCATTCCCAGAGACTGGGCAGCCGAGATCTCTACTGAGTACTCCAGACTCTCTCAGAATGACTTTCTAGGACTGTCAGGTTCTGAGGAGCTGTTGGAATGAGGATCACTGAGAACTCTGTTGATAAAAGGCTGAGCTTTCTAGGGCCGGTACATTCTGCATCCATAGCAAAGCCATATATGTTGAATCAGTTCCCACAGAGGACAGTAAAGCTGGTTTTGACTATCAAATGAAGGCCTTAAAACCAGGACCATCTTATTCACTGGTGCTTGTTCATAGCAGAAAACATTTTGGAGATGGTTGTATCTAAAATATTTAAATTTCGTTTCTACAAATTATAAGATTCTGAAGATTAAGTCCAGAGCCCTTTTAAATTACTGTTTTCTATTGATTTATAAGGTTTTATTCTCTGTCTAATCCAAAATATGTGCTATATTAAGATAGATATTAGAGCAGTATTTCTCCTCTACTTACTTCTGTCTGTGTCTTGGCCATTTTTAGATGATTGGTGGAAAATGACCAAACCTTGTTTGATGTCCCTTCTGTAGTAACTGGGCCCCATATCACCGATCCTACTCCAGCCTCCTTATGTGCTTCATGATCTCATACTGATTGGAAAAAGGATGATTTAATGGATGCCTACAAAATACATCATTAGAAAGGTAAATGTACTGACAAACAAGGGTTACAAAGTGACAAAGAAACTACCTCTAGATTACCTCGATTTGTTTTTTTTTCCCGGTCTAGTAATAACTACAACTATTTTGATGTATATCAGAAGAACCTGAACTCCTTTTTAAAAACAAACATGTTTGGGTGCCCTCTCACATCAGCTGGTTTAGGTTCTGTGGGGATGTTACCCATGCGTCTGTATTTGGAAAAAGACCCCAGATGACTGTGATGGGCACTGAGGGTTGAAAACTGCTACAGTATGGTAAATTGAAGAAGCACAGACTGTGCAGTTAGGCACATCTGAGTCCAGACCCCAGAACTGCCACAGTCTAGGCCTATGAACCCAGGCTTGTGACCAAATTACTTAATCCGTTGTCTATAGAATAGGAATGGCAATGCTTTATAAGATGGTTGGCAGACTAATGTAGATAACAGATGAAAGTACTTGACATCCAATAAGTGATAGCTAGTATTGTTCTAGTAGTGTGGAGCTATCCTCATTTTCATTTTAACTTATGAGTGTGGAGCTATCCTCATTTTCATTTTAACTTATGAGGACTGAGGTTTTTCTCACAATAGCGCTTTTCTGCAGCCCAAGAATATTCATGCAGAATTTCCTCTGCTTTTGATTAGACAGATTTACTTTGGGCTTTGAACTTTCCTCCAAGTTTGCATTTGGACTACTTGGAAAATAGTGTTAGAGAAAGGAGATGGCATCTTTGTTTCCAGCTTCCCTAGCATCTTCGGGAGTAGCTGATTATTCCTGGTTCCAGTTTCAGACTTACTCATTGTCTTATTTTAAGAACAGGTATATTGGTATATTATGAACTTGTGACACAAACTTGTTAGTTGCAAAACTGTAGAACAATNATGGTGACATTAATTAGCAGCGTTTCAGTGAAGTGGTGGGAACAAAAACCTGAATGGAGTGGGATGAGGAGAAAGTGAAGCGGGGGACTCTTTTTGAAGAGCTTTGTTCTGGAAGGTAATGGGAGGAGAATACAGTGGTACCTGGAAGGAGACACAAGGATACGGGAAGATTGTTTTGTTTTTTAAGATGAGTAAGATGAAGACACATTCATATGCCAGTGGGAATTATGTGGAGTGGAGAAATTGATCACACAGAAGAGAAAAGAGATTGCAGGCACAGTCCTTGAGAAGTCACAAATGGATGGGATCCTGACCACAAGTAGATGGTTACCTTAAAGAGGAACGTAAACACTTCTTCCATTGCATAGGCAATGAGGGGAAAGTGTGTGAAATCATATGCAGTTAGGTTGGTAGAATTAATGGGAAGATAAGATAAAATTCATCTGATTGGATCGATTTTTTTCTACTCAAGTATGAGGCAAACTCATCAGTAGTTAGTGACCTGGAAAGGGATGTTGAATGTTTGAGGAGACAAGAAAATTTGTGAAATGGTTATCTCAAGGTGGCCAAGTAAGTACGTAGAAAAAACTTATTTGGATTCCATCACTAAGTGTTAAGTCTGTACTGGACACTTGTAGTGATGCATTGTAAAGTGAGCAGTGAGCACAGCTGGGTGGCTTCTCTCTGGTGCCATTCATTGCAGAAGCCCGCATGGAGTACGCTGAGGGCTTGGTTGTCATTTTACCTAGTAGAAAGAGGAAAGGAAGGAGAAGAGGTGTTTGCAAAGTGGAAAATTTGATTGGTCATCGGATTTAATCTGGGTAAACAGGGAAGCAAGAATACTGATTACAGTGATAAGGACAATTATTTTCTACCTTGGTTGAGATCCAAGAATTCTTAGAGTAAGGATCTGCATTTTAAGTGAGCATCCCAGTGAAATGTGATTCACATGGACTGTGGGCCACTCTTGAAGAATCATTTACAATAACTTTGGGTCATAATGGTAGTCTTAGAGCAAATATCTGTTTTTGTTCAAATTTCACAGTATACAATTGCAGGGGTGCTTGTAAGAAAATGTGAATGTATACAAGCATGTAGGAAACTATTGATCATCAAGGCTTTAGTAGTGAATAGACTAATGGTCAGAGGAAATGAGTATAAAATTGTTGTATTACAGATTTAGCTTTTGAAACATATTATTAAGTGAACAGGTATTGCATTGTACCTGCAAGCATTATAATTTTTCATATAAAATAATTATACTACTCAAATATTTATTCNCCATCTGGCCCCCCAACAGCAGCTTGCTACTGCTCAACTCAAGGTGCTGTGTTCAATCTTAGTTGTGGGTGGGCATAGCCCACCATCCAATCTGGGAGTCAAACCAGAAACCTTGTTGCAAAGAGTGCACACTCTAACCACTGAGCATCCTGCCACCTGTTGGCAGCTCAGCTCGGGCGCAGCTCACTGGCCCATGTGGGAATCAAACCGGCAACCCTGTTGCTCAGAGCTCGTGCTCTTGACCAACTGAGCCACTTGGCAGGCCCACCTATATTTTTTTGAATTAGTGTTTTGGATTTCTTTGGATGGATACCCAGTAGTGGAATTGCTGGGTCATAAGGTAGTTCTATTTTCACTTTTTTTAGGTACTTCCATACTGTTTCCCATAGTGGCTGCACCAATCTGCAATCCCACCAGTAGTGCACAAGGGTTCCCTTTTCTCTACATCCTCGCCAATACTTGTTGTTTGTTGATTTATTGATGACTGCTATCCTGACAGGAGTGAGATGGTATTGTTCATTGTGGTTTTTATTTGCATTTCTCTAATGATTAGTAATGTTGACCATTTTTTCATATGTCTGTTGGCCATCTGTATAGCCTCTTTAGAGAAATGTCTCTTCATAGCCTCTGCCCATTTTTTAATAGGGTTGTTTGGGGTTTTTTGATATTGAGTTGTATGAGTTGTTTTGTTTTAATAAATTTTGGATATTAACCCCTTATCAGACGTATCATTGGCAAATATCTCCCACTCAGTAGGTACCTTTTTGTTTTATTGATGGTTTCCTTTGCTGTGAAAACACTTTTTAGTTTGATGTAGTCCCACTTGTTTATTTTTTCTTTTGCTTCCCTTGCCAGAGGAGATATATCAGTAAAAATATTGTCATGTCTTCAGATTTACTTCCCATAGTTTCTTCTAGGAGTTTTATGGTTTCGGGTCTGTAATCAATAAGCTCCCAACAAACAAAAGCCCTGGGCCAGATGGCTTCACAGATGAATTTTACCAAATATTCAAAAAAGAAATAACACCTATTCTCCTCAACCTATTCCAAAAAATTCAGAAGGAGGGAAGGCTCCCAAGACTGCTATTACCATGATCCCAAAACCAAACAAAGATATTACAAAAACGGAAAACTATAGGCCGATATCCATAATGAACATAGATGCAAATATCCTCAACAAATATTAGCAAACTGAATTCAGCAATATATTAAAAAGATCATACACCACGAACAAGTGGGATTCATTTCTAATATGCAGGGTTGGTTCAATATCTGCAAAACAGTTAACTTCATACACCACATTAACAAAATGAAAAATAAAAATCATATGGTCATATAATATATGCAGAAAAAGCATTTGACAAAATCCAACATCCATTTATGACAAAAAACTCTTAGCAAAGTGGGAATAGTAAAGGCCATATACAATAAGCCCACAGCTAACATCATACTCAATGGGTAAAAGCTAAAAGCATTCCCTTAAGATCAGGAACAAGACAAGGATGCCCACTTTCACCACTTTTATTCAACATAGTACTGGAATTTCTAACCACAGCAATCAGGCGAGAAAAAGAAATAAAAGGCATTCAAATTGGAAAGGAGGAAGTAAAATTGTCATATGCAGATGACATGATACTATATAGAGAGAACCCCAAAGATACCACCATAAAGCTATTAGAACTGATAAATGAATTTAGTAAAGTAGCAGGATACAGAATTAATATTCAGAAATCAGTTGCATTTGTATCCACCAATAACAAACTATCAGAAGGAGAAATTAAGAAAACAATCCCATTTATAATTGCCTCAAAAACAATAAAATATTTAGGAATAAATTTAACCAAGGAAGTAAAAGATCTGTACTCAGAAAATTATAAGATATTGAAGAGAGAAATTAAAGTAGACAGAAAAACTGGAAACATATACCATGGTCATGGATAGGAAGAATTAATATAGTTAAAATGTCTATACTACGCAAAGTAATATATAGATTCAACATAATCCCTATCAAAATACCAATGACATTTTTCACAGAACTAGAACAAATAATCCTAAAATTTATATGGAACCATAAAAGACCCCACAGCAATAGCCACAGCAATCTTACGAAATAAGAACAAAGTGGGAGGTATCACGCTACCTGACATCAAATCATACTACAAGGCTATCGTAATCAAAACATCATGGAACTGGTATAAAAACAGACACACATAGCACACTGTGCTAGATTCCTAATAAAGAATTTTTTCCTAAAGCATATACTTTTTTGATTCGTGCATGATCTTAACTGTCTCATTTTCAGGTGTTGGGAAGATTCATTCTGCTGAGGCTGAGTCTTAACCCTCCCGCAAAGATTGTACATGTTAGGTTTTCATAGTATACCCCACTGATTTTTTAAGGAGCTTGTCAACTTGGTGTTATGAAAAGACTCAGCTTTGGAGAGTTATAAGCTATGTCATTTGGAGTTCTGCCTCTCTAGATGAAAAATATGCTTGGCCGATCTTTAATATCACACATTTTCATGAAAACTAATGTTATTAATTTATTGGGGGATGGGGTGGAGGTCCAAGAATGGAGATTGAGAAGGTTTAGTAAAAGTTTA